CAAGGATTGCACATAGTATGTTAGCAATTTGGTAATTTCTCCAGAAGTTTGTGTAAATATTACTAGGTTCTAATTTAAACAATGTGTCATCCAAGAGAGCAATCATCCCCTATCATTCCACCTCATGACAATTTACTGAAATTAGCAGATTGACCTCATTTACACCCATTTTTTAAAATGTAACTAAATAATACAATTAGAGCCAAGTTGGACAAATTCCACATTGAGTGCAAGTGCTGATGCCTCAGCAGCAGTCGAGTAATTAGTTAGGATTTCATGAAAATGATGGCAGATGTGTAAAAGCACGTTGTCCTATGACTTCCTATGACGCCAAAACATTGTCATCACTGAGAGGTGACATTAACAATAATAAAAGCATCCTTTGCTCAACAGGAGTTGAACTGTACTCAGACACAAGTTAAGTCACACACTCATTGTTTGGAATCTCTTTTCCATCCTCTTTCCACACAATCTGCATGGGGATATGCTGCTTCTCACAGAATGTCTGATTCTCTGTATCACATTCCCTATTGTCAAACTCTAGTAACTAGCTACCATCTGACGGTAAATATTTAGGCAGGAATAAAAATACCATTTGGATGTGCTAAGAGCCTACCCATACACTAATTAGTATAAACAGAGTCAACACAATGAATGCACTAATTAGCATCATGCATTAGCTGATTCGAAGTAAAACACCACATCCTGGAGCACTGGGAAAAGACAATGATAGAGAAGACTATAGGATTAAGAAGGCTATTATTTATCATGGGGTACGTGTTTGAACAGCTTGTAGGATATACCCTAAGGTTTACTTTTCCCTCTGCCTATTGAAAGTTGAGTATTTTCTCACATGTTGCTATTTACAAACAGGTGTCCTGATTTCTGCTACAAAAGGGTTTCCATAGAGCAATCCAGCTTCTCTTCAAACTAACATGAGAGCTTGGCAGGGGTTCCTTTTAATTTTCTGAGTTATCAAAGCCGTGGGAGGAAAACAGGGTTCCCCACAGAAGTATTCCCATTAGAGACTCACAACATAAGCAGGGACCAGTTCAAGCTTCCCCTAAAGGGATTGTGGAGGTACAGGCTAAAATTCCATCTTGGAGCAGAAATGTATCCTGAAACTCCGCAGAGAGCAAAGTTCAGCAGCAATAGCAAATTCTCTTGCCACAGCATCACACTCCTCTCTCTGGCATACATCACTTCTTTCTAAACCTGGTGTAAAGGGTGCCTCTTTCTAGGAGTCACTCAACAACCGAGCTTTCATTCATTCCTCCAGCAAGTCTTTATTGAATGGCTGCTATGTGCCAAGAGTGAGTCCAACAGATAAAGGCGTACATACACGTACATATTGTACACACAATACTGAGTTTGTCAATTGAATATTTTCCACAGCTCATTCCTGTCCACCTTCATTTTCTTGACTACATTGGTCTTCCCTAACTATGAAGTATTCGCAATCTTAAATCAGGGCACGGCTTCTTAACTCACAGTGAGTTAACTTCATTTCTTCCAACAGGTTCTCAAAGAGGAATAAGCCCCCAAGCAGAGAAAAGCTGTTGAACACATAGAGATGGACTCATGTCTACCTTATTTTTAAAGGAAATATCAGTTCTTTTCTTATAAGCCCTTCCCAGTGTAGATATTTAGAAACCCTGACTTTCAAGAAGTATTTCCTTTCATCTCTTACTACAAGCCTTTTGACTCTCTTTTAAGCTTCTTTATGTTCATCTTCTCTTTGCAAGGGATGTTTAAATTATCACTCCCCTCTAAAATAATCATTGTCTAGAGCAGGTTAACCAGATAGCCTAGCAAGATTTGTGACTGATTTATCCAAGCTGGTTACAAATGTGGATTTTAGAAGAATCAAGGTAAGTCATGGTCAAGGAAGCAGTTTAACTAGACTGATAATCCCAGAAAATGTCATGTGACAGATGAGGTTGATGGAAGCACTTTCTTCCTGGATATCAAGGCTTCTGTATATGTATTTTCCCTCCTGACTCTCTTGACTTCAGATGGAAGGCAAGAGCAGCTTGCCGCTGTAGCAAGGTTAAAAAGCAAAATGAACCAGCCCTCAAATCTGCTGCAGGCAGAGTGATGGTTTCGCTTTTAAGCATCTAATTATCTCTAAGAGGTAAAGTACCCAAAAGCCACATTGGTTTTAGAGAACACAGCCTCCTGAAGGGTCGGTTCATCTCCGTTCAGCTTGGCCAGGGCTCCTCTGCATCCTCCTCCTCCCCTCCTGGACTCTGGCTGGCTTTTCAGTCTGAAGTCTTCTGCAGAGTTTCTGGTAAACTGCAATGCTTATCAACCAAGCTCCTTATCCTCAGGAGTATATTAAATATCAGATGAAAACACTGCAGAGTTGGACAAGCAATAATTTGGTTTTACAATAATTTCTAATGATTAGAGCAAGCCGAATTTCACTTGCAGCAGTTAGAGATTAAGAGGAAAAACTGAGATGAGCTCACCGGCTCTCACTTGGTTTTCAACAGTCTGGGAACAGAATGTGATTTTTAAGCTGCAATGTCCAGAGAATACAAAAAGAGATGCAAGCCAGCGCGGCCCTTATACCGAGCTTAGTTGTCCTTTTACAAAATCATGCCATTCAACATCTTCTCTGCAGTTGGTTTTTTTCCAAAGTGGATTTTGCCCACTCCAGGTGTCACTGACCAAAAGAACTCTGAAGACTTAGTGGGTTAAAGGCGAGTCCAACAATGATTAGGTGGGGGCTATGATTGAAGCCATCGGGAAGGCACAGATTGGCTGCTTCAGCATCTTAGCCAGGTCTCTGAATGTATTTGAGATTTATTGACCCTCCCTGTGTCACACTTAACGATGCCCTGAATACTGGGTGTTCAGCCACTACCAGAAGAGGCCAAATTTGGACTCTACCCTTGAGGCGTGTGTAAACCAGATGCCTCAAAAATCACTACCTCAAGAAGAACAGTTAGTCAAATGCCACCACACCATAAACCGAGTCTTCTATTCTTTCACTCTTCATTATTTTTTTCTTTAAAGCAATCATCTGTGTCACCCTAAGAGTTTAACACTGCCCACTTTACTGTCTTGATGAAAAAGCGTATTGATTTATTTTCTCACTCATTCACACATTCATCCAACAAATAGTTACAGATACTGAACTTGGCACTGGGTAGACACAGAACTTTCATTCTGGTTGGGGAGAAAGACAATAAGGAAGTAAATAAACAAGGTAATAATTATAAATTGTGATAATGCTGTAAAAGAAATAGTGTATGGGGGGAAAATGGTAATGGCTACTTTAGATTAGGTAGTTCTCAATCTCTGTTTAAGAAGAAAATTGGGCTGGTGCAGTGGCTCATGTCTGTAATCCTAGTACTTTTGGAGGCCGAGTTGGGCAGATCAGTTGAGGTCAGGAGTTCGAGACCAGCCTAGCCAACATGGTGAAACCCTATCTCTACTAAAAATACAAAAATTAGCTGGGCCTGGTGGCGAGCACCTGTAGTCCCAGTTACTAAGGAGGCTGAGGCAGGACAATCACTTGAACCCGGGAGCTTGCAGTGAGCAGAGGTCATCCCACTGCACTCCAGACTGGGTGACAGAGTGAGACTCCATCTTAAAAAAAAGAAGAAAATTGAAAGACCCAAAAATATATGCCAATTTATGACATGTCATTGTGTGGATTCCTAGCACTTACTCATCATTTAGTGATTCCCTCATCTTGCTCAGAGGGATAGACTTCTTCAGCACTGGTGATTGGTAAAACTCTTCTTCCTCCCACTGCTCCGATGAAGACTCATGCCTGGGTCCAGTTAACCAGGAGGGAAGTTTCTCTGTGAGGGCTCTGGAGAAGAAATCCTTCTGACCAAAGGTTTAATATTATTGTTAACCATTGCCCTTAAAAGTGTTCCAACATGAAGAGCAAACCCCATAAGTAGAATAATGGAAGCATTCGCCATATCTAAGCAGACCTTCTAAGGGTCTCTGCTGTATTCCTTTTGCATCGGCAGGTGGCCACTTGCTAATGTTTAAGTTGATGAGGTTATGTTGTGAGTTATTCTAAACATGTAAATTGGGAGCATTTGTAACAAGGATATATACATGCTATGCTTCTTTTTAGATAATTTTGTGTTGTAATAAAGTTATGGGGAAAAGGCCAGTTTCAAAATCCTTGGAAGCATTTATCCATTTGGAGGGAATTTTATTTTAAAATCACTTTGTAACTTAGATTGCTCCAAAAATATTTTAACCTCTAATGTCCAGTGTGTTTTTAAAATGGAAAGACCATTGTGTCCATCAAACCTCTTCCATGGAAGATATACTCTGTAATCTCATCTGCCTAAACACTCCTCACACACAATAGGGTTATCAGATAAAATAAAGGCCACCCAATAAAATTTGAATTTCAGCTCAACTGAAATATTTTTTAATTGCATGGGGAATGTTTTTACTAAAAAATTATTCATTGTTTATCTGAAACTCAAATTTAACTGGCATCTTGCATTTTTATTTGCTAAATCTGACAACCTTACCCAAAGAAAAGATCTGAATCCCTGACAGTTCTAAGCATCACTCACCACCCTCACCATCTTCATTCCATTCCTGATTTAAGCCTGGTCTTCAAAATTAAATGGGAATATTAATTAATACTAAGAAACAAAATTTGGTATAAAAGAGGACTGGCATTACAGAGATTAAAAAATACAATTGCCACTGGCCTGGAAAATAGGGAATTAAAGCAACTTTTAAGAAATTTAGGTATGCAAACTAGATCATAAACATCCTCATTTTCAAAAACTTCTGCCATAATTAATGTGCATAAACTTTTTACAGTTGAAACCTAGAATATCGTAGGGCTTAAGCCAGAAGACAAAGTATCCTCTAAATTCTTGAAATCAGTCAATACTATGGTCACATTTATTCTGGTATTTGTACTAATTTGGTGTGATTTCTTAAAATCACCTAATTCATTCATTCATTCTCTCTCTCTCTCTCTCTTCCTCTCTGTCTGTCTCTAGTTACCTAAACAAGAATAAATACCTGACAGTTATTGACAAAGATGCATTTGGAGGAGTATACAGTGGACCAACCTTGCTGTGAGTAAGACATACAAAAGAATATTTTAGTCTTTTTGTTTGTTTTACTTTTTTGGAACAGATGGAGATATTAAGGGGAGAAGCTTATGTTCAGGGGTAGAGAATGTTGCTGTCTCAGGTAAAGGCTTCTGTAATTTCCCTTTTCCTGGCTGTATAAGCTATGTCTTAGAAGAAAGTCCTTGTCCTTTGAGACTCAGAAGGCCCCAAGCTTCAATATGCCATCCTGATCCCTGATCAGGCAGCCACCTTGGTGTATGTGCTCATAGAGGCTCTGTTCATGGAGCAGCTGCTGTTTGAAACATTTTGAAATGCAAGGCCCACAAATAGATGGAAGGCTCACTAGTCTTTGCAGAGAAAATGTACCTGAATGCACATTGCACAATGCCTGGCACAAAGAAGGAAGAATATAAAGGATAGTTCAACTCATTTCTGGAAGAACTTACAATCATGGGGAAAGATGGGATAACGACATTTTTAAACAGCATGAAAACATACATATTTGTGCATTTCCTTTGATTTACATCCCCACCTCCAATCAGTGATCAGGTTCTATTGATTCTGCTTCCCTCGAGCGTCTGTATCATCACAACCTTTCTCATTCCCTTGGTTTTGCCTCAGTTTGGAATCTCATCATTGAGCATCCACTCTAGCCCTTGCCAAAGTGGAACACAGCACCCCGGAGATGCACAAGATAATCTGTTGGGGTGAGAGGAAATATTAGAGGTTCTATTTATACTTGCATTTTTTAATAAGAACAAATTAAGTTGTATTAATCTTTTACTTATAGATGGCCATTGTCCCTCAGGGGCCAGGTAGGCGGTGGATGCCTCCTAGAAAAGAGGGAGTGATCCACAGTCCTAAGCACTGGATACCTTCACTCTTTTACCTTTGACAATTTTATTTCACTTTCAGACTGAATCCACCCAGTTAAGTGTGTTTAGGGTCCTATTCTCTTAACACATAGGCTCAGAGTGATCTTGAAAATCTGCTGTGCCACGCACGTGGAGTTCACTGTTAATTCATGGCAAAGTACTTAAAAGCATTATACATTTTTCTTTTTATAAGGAGACAAGTGGGGGGGAAAACGTGTTAACCTTTTCTGTGTGATAAAGTCCCTGTCAGTAATTTTTAACCTGGAAGATATTTTTCCATAACACTTTTATATCTGCTTCTTCAAGATTAAGGTACTATTTCACCAAGTAATAAGAAAAGTCATTGCTTTTTGAAAGAAATGTATGCTTTAGAGAAAGGTTTTAGAAACAGGTATTTGGAAACATTCACATATTATGTGGATTTCCTGATAAAAATGATGAATGCCATAAAATTTCTGTTTGATTCAAATCAGAAATAGAATTTTAACCTGTTTTTAAATCTTTCAAATTAAGTTTGTTGTGATTATTGCACCCATCTTCCTAAATTCAAATGCTGAAGCCTTACCCTCCAGCACTTTAGTATGTGACTATATTTAAAGGTAGGGTCCGTAAAGAGGTAATTAAATTAAAATGAGTTTAGGTAAGCCCTAATCCAATCTGACAGGTGGCCTCATAAGACAAGGAGATTAGGATATACAGACAGACACCAGGAATGGGTGCTCACAGAGGAAAGGCCACGTGAAAATACAGCAAGAAGGCGGCCACCTGCAAGCTAGGGAGAGAGGCCTCACGAGAAACCAAACTTGCTGATACTTTGATTTTGGACTTGAAGCCTCTGGAACTGTAAGAAAATACACTTGTGTTGTTTAGATCAGCCAATCGGTGGCATTTTGTTACCATGGCTCTAGGAAAATAATACAGAGTTGCAAAAGGTTTAAAATCCATGTGTATAAAATGTGCAAACGAAACACCTTCAGATCACTTTGCAAAAACAACTGATTGACATCAGAAAATATAAAATTTCATTAAAAACATGTATTTAATTACTGAATTAGACTGAAAAATGAGAATCTTAGTTTAATAAACTCAGTCAAGCCTACTCTATTCTTGGTGAAATACCCATCTTTGGAAATTTTTTCAACTAGGACAGCCATTTAAACCAAAATCAAAATAAACTAAACCAGAAGCAGGCTTTGCACAGCCATAGCCAAAAGGGTTAAAAATAATTTTCAAAACTAATTAAGCATATTTGATAGCACTGCTTTTGCTTTAATGAAACTTTAAAAAAAATACATTGCTTATTCTCATTGCATTATTTTAAGATGTATGTTTAGTGTGTTATAGTATATATAATATTATATTACAGGAATACATGTATAGAGTTCGTGACTATTCATATGTTAGTGATATACACTCAAATATTTTTCACTTATTGATATGTGAGATTGAAAGAATTTGAAGACCAATAGTATAGAGCAGAACCACTCAAAATGAGTTCATTTCAAGGTAAGTGGCTGTCCAGGATGTACATCAAAGCACAGCTTCTTTTTTGGAGAAAGTCTTGTCATGAAAATGAAGTCAACCAAACTTAACAGTGTACTTAGTTGAAGTAGTTGGCTTACATCTAGCATACGTTTCTTATACTTGGATGGTAAGAAGTTATTGGCCAGTGGGCACCATACTTTGAGTAGCAGTAGTCTAGATGATTAGAGTCTCCAAATCTGGCCCCTGCCTTTACTTAGCCTTGGTTCCTCTCAAATCCACCCTCCCCAAACCTCTTCGGGTTTATACGCCAATAGGATCTTAAACCCCATACTAGCCTCCCATCCCCCTCAGGATAGAGGTCTTGGTGTGACATTCAAGACCCTGCTACAAAATTCAGCTTTGTCTTTTATACCACTTTACACCTCTAACCAATGATCCATCCATATTGAACCTCTTAGCTCCCTTAATTCTCCAACCTACGTATACTGTTATGCCAAACTCTTACTCTTTCTGCTGTCTGGAAAACCTTGCCATAATCTTACCTGTCTGATGAACGACTACTGGCATTTTAATATTCAAGATGACTCTGCAGTCATTCTTGGACCTCCTTCTTCTTGGGGAAAAATAACTACTTTTTTTGTACACCACTACATTATCTGTCTGTCTATCTATTTACCTACCTACCTACCTACCTACGTATGTATATATGTATGTATGCATATAAAATGCGCCAGTAACATGTCTTTATCTCTCCAAGAGACCCTAGCGGGCAGAATTGTATTTCTACAATTCTAATTCATATTATAATGCCTGAAACACAGTATGAGCTTAATAAATATTTGTGAAATTCATATGGTACCCAACAACTAATTAAAGCATTCTTCTGTAAACACTATGGCATGTAAAGAGCAATCATATTTTAAAGATATTTTAGCATGTTGTCCTCAGGGGAACGTGTCCATTTCTACTTCTTTGGAAGTGGTCAATTAAACTACCTACTTCTACTGCCTAGAAGTTGTTTTTTATATTTATGGCAAGATTTTCTACGAGACTCTCCCACCAAGTTAAGAGTATTTGCGCAACTGCTTGAAAATGCTTTCCCTGCCTTTTGGTGGCATTCCAGATTGTGGAAAGTGACAAAGATGCAGAGTTATACCTGGAGTTGACTCCCAGCCCCATCCCTTACTAACTTTAAGACCCAAGTCTCAAGTTGCTCATATGTCAAAACAGAATAACATAAACTAATAAAATTTAAATAAGATAATAAAGGAAATAAACATATCCTCAATGATGTTAGACATTATGATTATTTTCACTTCTTCCTGAACTTTGATATTTGTTATACTGATCTGTTCTAATCTCTCTGATCACCCTTCCCCATTTCTCTTTTTAGCTCACTGCACCGTTCCTCAAAATTGGCTTCTGTCCTGGGTCCTGTATACCTTCTCCTTTGGTTAAATCATCTGCTCACATGTGAATTTGCTCATCATGAGATATGAATCTGCTTATCATGAGAATGTGAATTATTCCTCAGTTTTGGGTATCATATCTTAGCTCTTATTTGGCCATTCACCCAGCTGGAATTCCCTCTTTGCTCCCTGTCATTTCTATCCATTCCCATCAATCTGCTTAAACTCTCCTTAGCCAACCTTTGAAAATGTACAATATGCATTTACTGAGGACTTGCGATGCTTGGGACTCTTTATTGGGAGCTGTCAATAGGGGAGGGTCATTGTGTTCAAGGACAGTGAGTGAAAGGCCTCATCAAGAAGGTGGCAATCCAGAAAACACCTGAAAGAAACAAAGGGACAGACCTGGGGACAATCTGAAGAAAGAGCATTTTAGACAAGTGCAAAGACGCCCCCAGGTGAGAATATACCCAGCATGTTTGAGGAAGAGCAGGGAGACCATTGCCGCTCAGAGTAAAGTAAACACAGGGAAAAAGTAGAAGCTGTGATCAAAAAGATGACAGGGTTAAAGATCAACTTGCAGATGGCCTCAGAGGCCATCAGAAGGTCTTTTGATTCGCTCTTTAGATGGAGGGGAAGCCATCGGAGCATTTTGAGCACAGATGTGTCACAGTTTGACTCATATTTTCATAGGAACATGCCGGCTGTTGTGTTGAAAATAAACTGTAGGGGACCAAGTATGGAAGCAAGAAGACCACTTAGAGTATGCCAAAATAATACAGGCATGAGATGAAGGCAACTTGCAATAAGGCAGTAGCAGTGGAGATGATGAGAAATAATCTGACTATATTTTTTAAGGTAAAGCCAACAGGACATGCTGATGGATCCGATATAAGGGGTAAAGGAAAGGAAGGAATCAGGGAGAACTGTAACAATTTCTGACTGAGCAGTTAGGAGAATGAGATCACCATTTCCTGAGATAGGGAAAGGTAGTTTGAGGTCCTGTGATATGTGCAAGCAGGCAGTGACATAAGTGGGTGTAAAAGTCACAACAGAGGTCAGGGCTAGAGACATATTTGAGACTCTTTGGAATGTAGGTGCTGATAAGGGGATGCAGGTACAGAGGAAATCTCAAAAAATGAATAGAACTAAGACTTCTGAACTCTCCCCACCGAAGTGACTTTCCCTGATCATTTTTTAAACATTAAAATGACAGTGCTTCTGAGACAATATA